ATATATTTATAAAAAAAGCTTTAACGCGAAACTAAACGAATATGGAACTGATATTGTTCGTCGGGTTATGCTGAGCAAAAGCTGCTTAAAAGCGATAAGCACGTATGAAGCTATTATATAACCACGTAGTTCTCCATCTTTCTCACCAGTCTTTGTTTCATAACGAAACAACAGAAGTATAACTTCAGGTTCAGCAAAATTAAAAACTTAATAAAATTAAAATAATTACATAATAGTAAACACACAGGAAAAATAAGTTATCGTTCAGCGAGAACTTTACTTACACACCCATTTTTGTTCCACAGATTTGGAGTTTTCAAATCAATTCGTTTTTAGCAAGAACACTTAAAAATGTTTTCGTCGAAATATATAGCTTGCTAAATTAAAACTCGTTTGTGTTCTCAGAGTAGAAGAGTTAATGAGTTGATGGTGATTTAATTCCATGTTTGTCATTGATTAATTACATTGAAGCAGTGAATACAATAACAACGGAACGAACGTTACCCAGTTATTATCGTACTGAACTATGGATTTGTGAGTCTAGTGTTCGCGTCCTTTTACCGTTAAAAAATTACTATTCACACTTTGGGGCCATGAGTGTGCTATAAGGGTAAGGGTCAAATAACACTATTTGGTCAGCTGAGAGTAGTTCAAGAACTGGCAGTAAGTGTTGTTGACTAGCTGCCATCCGTTTAGTTTATCGGTTCAAAATTAACGAAAATTAGCTTGAGTAGCTTTACGAAAATATCTCTAAACAAGCAAACAGAGAAATAACATAAGTACCAGACCGCTATTATACATTAAAAAAATTAAAATTATACGTGTTGTAGAATTATATTATTATTATTTAACACTAGATGTCGCAAAACACTATTGAAAGAACCTTGTGATAAACATACACAACTTGTGCCCATAAATTTGCAACTTTTATCAGAACTATCTTTTGTAAACAAATTTTGTAATGACCTAGAAATGTTTAGTAGAGTTCACGTTTGTAAAAATAATAAAAATGTGTTTATGATTATATAGAAGTAGATTGTTTTTGAGACCAGTTTTGTTGACTTTGACTTTACATTCTGAAGCCACTTCCTGTGACGAAATCCTTGCAATCAGTAGGCATATGAAAATGTTAACAAAAATATAGTAAAACATAATCCCACTATTCGTTGATAAAAGAGTAGAGTTGTCGGTGGGTGGTGATGACTAGCTGCCTTTCTCCTAGTCTTTCATCGCTAAATTAGGGACAGCTAGCGCAGATAGCTATCGTGTAGCTTTGCGCGGAATTCAAATCAAACGCTACGCTAAAATACACAAACAAACAATATCTTCCTATTCGCAATATTTATTGAATTACATCTTTGGTAATATCTATTAGTAGGAAAATAATATATTTTTGGGGTTTTTTGATCATTACTGTAGGTTGGATTAATTTCGAGAAAAAAACAACAACAACAACAACAAAAAAAAAACTAAATTCGTGACCCAGGACTTTATTTGAAACTGCAAATTTTAAATCATAATTATGCATATCAAGACTTTTTAATGCGATGATTTTAAATTATAAAAATCAAACTTTACTTAGAGCAGAGTTTTGTTTAATTGTGTTTACACTTTTAAGTGTGTTATTAGTATAATTTGAAAAGTTTTCATTTGATTTTGATAGAATTTGGTACAATAGTTGAGTGTCTTCCATGCACCAAATTAGGAACATTTAGGAAATGTAGGTAACAGATCATGACCAGTACAAAAGTCAAAACATTTTTTTGTAACAATTGTAGCAAATCGTGATTTTGAAAAACGGCTAAAATACGAGAACACATTGAGATAGAAAGAACTTTACACCTAGACCTACATTTTTGAGGATGAGGAATTGCATGATGTATATTTTGGGTTGACTGCTGCAAAATTAAAAATGAAACAACTCAAAATACACTGCAGCAGGGGTTACACTTTTTGTGTATTAGTATTACATATGACAGACCTTCTAATCGATTACTTCACAACTATACTGGGGAAATGAAAAAAAAAATTGATAGGATAAATCTAAGGTTAGAAAATTAAACCCGAAAAGGAAAAAAAAATCGAATGAAAACAAAATGAACTGTATATTCTCCTCCTTTAGAAACTGTTGTATTGTTAACGAAATATATGATGTACAGTTGTTCATATTTCATTTTTCGTTGCAGGATAAACAATATATAAAATTACAAAGATGGGACATTTTAACACTGAAGAAAAAATATCACGCTATAAAAAATTAGGTCCGAAAACTTCGCGGAAGGAACTATAACTTCATCAAACATAATAATAATCCGCTTTGACTTCCCTTTTAACTTTGATCCTTTCATTAAGCTTTAAGGTCGCTTTCTTCAAATAAAAATGTTCCTCTGAGTACTTATGTTGTTATTGTTTTGGCCTGTACTTAACCAACGAATGATATAAAATTACATTAAGGTTTTTCACCAGTTGCGCTCTAACCTATCATTTCATATCAGGCAATGCTCATACTTCGTGACTAATGGAAAAATACAATTTTTACTCCAACGTTCGATCTCATAGTAGAGTGCTTAATTGCCTGATAAAGTTCAAAAGTTGAAGAGAGAGTGGAATAGTTCGAAATGTGACAGTTTCAATAACTCCGCGAAAAAAACAACAAATCATTACACGTGGCTGTACAGAAAAATAGACCGCATCTTTTTTCGTTTTAATAGAGAATATTAATGCAAATTTTAAGGGCAATGAAACAGGTAACAAAGCTTATTTGTTCTAGGATTGTTATTTTACTGTTGAAACTCTGTCATGCAATGTTACAAGAGGAGACTTTCGAAACAACCTCGATTATAGAAAAAATCAACCAAATAGAAGTAATTTTAATTTTTTATTAACTTCTTCTGAAGATTTCATTTACAGTAATAAGAATAATAAATGCATTTTCCTCGGATGGAAATAATTTTGGCATTTATAAAGGAAAAAAATAACAAAATCTCCTCTTTTATAAACAATTACTTTGATGAAAGCTCTCAGACTTGTTCCTATGATTTTTCAATTCTGTCTTTCAATGTTTCAGCTCTCTACTTTAAAGAAAACAAAAGTTTCTGTAAAACGTCATTCGAAAAAAATTAACACTATTATTGCAAGATTAATTTTCAACTTCCTAGTGGGTCATCAGTTGAAAAAAATCCACTATTTCATAACGTTTTAATTTTTTTATCTAAAGAACACGCACCAAATATCTTAAGGTCTCATGTAATTTCTTCCCTGAAGAGCTAAAAAAAAGGTAATTCTTTTTGCAACTAAATAATGATCGAGCAACCACTTCTCAAATATTTGTCGATTTAAAAAATATATGCGTCAAAGTGTATATATTTAGAGAAAATTATTTAGCGATTATGTTTTTTTTAATAAAAAGAGAACTTTCATGTTATTAGCTAACCAAACCACTATAATAAAGGCTTTTAGCTGTTGAATAGATGACGTTTGTGATTAGGCATAACATGTTCATATACTTCAGTACAATATACATTCTCTATTATCACAAATATTATCTTTATACAAGTTTGAGTATAAAGTGGTTTTACAGAATAAACTTATGGTCGAATAAAAACATTCCAAACTTCTGGGCATATTTTAGAATGATAAATTATGAAACTAAAGCATTCAATTTGTAATTATTAACAATTTACTTAAGTAATATACATCAATTTGTAATTATTAACACATTACTTAATTAATATACATCAAGATTTCATGCTCTGAATAACTTACAAATAACGTTAGAATATTTAAGATATTTCTTCTTGTTTCGATTATACATGATAGCCACCATAAAAATATTTTTATATGGAAATATTCTAAATTCAAAAATGTTGATTATTGGAAAATAACGGAAAATATTTCTATTGCGTATTTAGACATATATTATATATTTCTAACGATGAATATATATAAAATATATATAGTAAGATTGTTATATTTCTCTTTCTAATGAATCTATTTAATTTGCTGCAGGATATGAGTTTCCATATATATATATTTGAACAATGAGTGTTAACTGAGTAGTAACTGTTTGATATATTATGAATTAATTTCGTAATTTCCTATTGAATAACATTTGAATAATAAAATCAGTAAAATCTAACAATTACTATGAGCCCGACTTATAGACGTATATGTGAAAATATTTGTTCAAAATTCTAAAAAACCAAGTAACGGTCGGTTTCATCACTTTTTTCTCAGGTAACGGAATACTGTTGCCTAAAAAACGATAAATAATTGGTTGACATAAGGTGAAAGTGGCAGCTGAAGCCCGAGATGTTTAGTTAAGAGCAAAAATGTATACCTATCACTGTTTATATAATATGTTACCAAAGAAGATTGGTTCGCTTGTATTAAAATCAGAGTATGAAACTCGATAGAGTCTGCTTAAGCCTAGTTATGAATGACTTAGTTAAAGCATCCTGACTCATTAGTATATGAGTACTCTAAGATACATTTAGGCTTCCAGACTTATTGGGATACAGAAATTTAAGTTACTAGAGTTTAATTTGAAGCGTTTTAGTAAACTGGAAATTAGGCTGAATTTTAATACAACTTGTAAGATAATTAGACAACATACAGCAGCAAGTGAAGGGTTTGTTACATTAATTCATTAGGACTGTAACCTCGTTATTAACGGTGTTTTCTGTCAGAATGTTTATATAATAGCAAGTGATTGGTTATCCTGTTATTATTATCACATTTTGAACAAGCAACTTATAACGAATTAACTTATTTGTTGAACTGTTCGCTAAGTACAGGACTTTGTAATAACGAACTAAAGAGAACTGTATATATCCACCGAATATTATAAGAATTACTTACATAGACATTGCTCTGAAAAGAGTCAGAATAAGTGCGGGCTACTCTGACTCTCATGTAGTGATTATTTTAATATTCTCCTGTAATTGCAACCATTTCACCGAAACCATTACCATCTACAAGGAGGGAGAAAAGGTCGAACGCACCTGACCCTCCAAGGTCTTTAAGACCTAAGACCGGACAAGAAACTTCTGGAAAAGAACTTATTTGTAATAGCTGAAATATAACGGCCTAGCTTTATTAATTCTGCTGTTAATCGTTTGCAAGTCGTTATTTAGATCAACCAGTAATAATTACAGATAAGACTTAATCAGTCTAAATCTAAATATTTAAATTATGTTTGGTCGCCAAATTCATTTTATGGATATGCTCACATTCATTTAGTATAACTACGCCACTAACGTCGGTCTGATAAGACCAATATTATTATTATTATTAGCAAACTTTTTAAGGCAGGAAGTTCGTGATGAGTGAAAGAGCAATTACAAATAAGAATGAAGGTTCCTCACTGTTGAACAGTTTGAACTCGAAACAACTAAAAACAACTCGGAAACCAACAGTAAGTAACACAGAAACGAAATATAGATATATAATATATTTTATTTGGAGGTAATAAAATATAGATAAAAATTGCACGACCACATAATTAAGCATAGCGAATATAAACCTTTACACTCATGTTTCAGAAGCATAAAAAGCTAAACACGAACTTTATATATAGTTTATTCTAGTGGTCAGAATTACATACAGAATTGTCGAATCAGTATCATATTAATGTATTATACCAGAACATTATTAAATGAAGACATTCTATGCGTTACGATAAGTATTGACAGGACTGAAGATAAGCCACGAAACATTATCTGATTTACTGAACAGTGTGTAGTAAAATATTTGATCTATCTATTAAAAAAACAAACAAACAAGCAAGACAGTTATAAATTTTAGCACATAAAGGACAGTGTGTGCATTGCAGCGGCATCTTTTTACTTTCAATGATTTGTTAATTTCAGATACCTAGACCTACATGTTTGAGGTTATACGTGAATGTATGTAACACACTGTTTCTTGAGAGAAAGCTTTAACTTTAACTTTACTTTTAGTTTTTGGTAAAGCTCAAAAATGACTCTTATGTTATGTTTGAGTTCTTCTCTTAAGAGAACAAAACTACAACATGCTCTTACATTATATAGTACGTTAGATTGGTTCTTTGGGCTTGTAAAAAATATTTTCAGGAAAATAACTTAATGTTTTATCTAGTTATCATTGTTAAAAAGAACACACGAAGAAACATAATACGGTTACAGAATGACAATGGTAAATAATAGAAGTTTGAAATTTTGTATGGTGACTCTTTATAGGATTGGCTGTGATTGTGTTTGATTTATTTTGTCCAGTTCTAAAGTTCGGCTAGATATATTAGTAAAAATGACGTTTTTTTTATTTAAGTCACATCAAAAAATTCGTGAAATTTTGAAATTCATCATAATGCAAACACAGTTCAATATTTATACAAATTATCCTTTATATTGGAGTTAAATAGCGATTTCCAGCTACTTACAATTTGAACTTCCGACATGGACTAAAAACATACATTTTACACGTTTTTGTTCGGAAGTTCTAATAGATGATGCACAAAACTTAATTATTGGATACTACCCAGATATTCATCCATCGTCTTCTAATATTACTGAAATTTCAGATAACAGATGGAGCTAAAGTGTGATCATTCAAGTTACAATGTTTATGTCCTAAACTTTAAGCATTTGTTTCCTAAAGCATAATCATTACATAATATAACCTACTGCGTGTAAAAATTAAACTCGAGAAAAATTATAGCTTATCTATTAACGCTGTATGTTGTGTAGATTTGTTTTCTCGGAGCTAGATTTACTTTTATTTCTAAGTGCGGATTAGTATATCTCCCATATTTTGTTGAACAAGTGTTTTTGTACTAAATGACAAAATCATCATATTTATCAACAAGAACAGTCATAGAGGCATATCAAATCAGGGTTTAAGGGATATCATTGTTCATGGAAAGCTGGTATTTTCTCAACATTTTGTAATAGTTTGTTTGTTGAATTTGCTCATAAATGCAATACGGCTATTTGCGCTAGCCGTCCCTGATTTAGAAGTGATAGACTAGAGGAAATGCAGGAAAAACATCACCCACTGCCAAATCTTGAGCTACTCTTTACCAACAAATAGTGGGATTAACTGTCACTTTATAACGTCCCCACGGTTAAAAGGGCATGCTCGGTGATGGGGTTCGATCCCGAAGATTGCGAATCGAATGTTCTAGCTATCAGGTTATGCCAGACCTATTTAAGAAGGGAACTGTCATAAAGTGTTTTCTTAGACTGGTATTCAGAAGAAAGCTCATATCGCAATAATGTTTTCCATATATTGATAGATAAAATTGTACATGTCAATATTCTTTATGAATACATATCCAAACCTTAGAAGTGTTATAAGTTATAACTATTCCTGGTATACATTTTGTGTGAGATCACCGAGGAGCTTATTTATAAATCATTCTTTATTATTATGTTTGAACACACAAGTTTTATGAATCATAGTTTGTTTGTTTTGTTTTTGATTATGCACAAAGCTACATAAGGGCTATCTGTGCTCTGCCCACCACGAGTATCGAAACCCGGTTTCTAGCGTTGCAAGTCCGCAGACATACCGC